AAAAAGAAGGAAAAGCAAAAAGAGAAGAGGAGGGAAGAGAAGCAAAAAGGAAGATAGAAGGGACAAAAAGAAAAAAGAAAAGAAATGAAAAGAAAACTCAGGTCAGTTGTGGTATGAAGATAATGTTGATTTTCAATATTCAGAAATGATTTATTTAAATTGAAGTTGATTTCCAGGAAGGTGTAAGGTATAAACTACTACTATGAATAGGTATAGATGCTGAAAATAATCTCAGACCAAATAATGTGGGAAGTATTTTTATTATGTAACAATCTGTTTCATATATTTGTTCAGATAAAAATAACCACACACAAGTGTATATGGGGACACCAATGTCATATGTAATAGGCGAACTCTTGGAATAGAAAGATAAACAAAGCAATTATTGGTATGATACATAAATTTTAGCCAAAATATTAGATTGTGGACTAATGAAAGCCTTTGTATTGTGGTTATCTTCATCATTTGGTCACTAAATGTCTGGGTGGAATAATTTCTTTGGGAGAGATTTTTGAGGATGTGTGATTATGGAGAAACTGCCACATCTCTAACTGAGAGTGTTTTCTATGCTATTTGTGCCCTGACACATTGCATAAAGTGCACTGAGCGCAGAATTCAGACAGAATTTAGCAACCATGTGCTCTGATTTCCTCTAAAATATCTCCCTTAGATCCCTAATCTAACTCCAACCTAACGTGCAGATGGCCCAACACTCACAAGTTGCTTACATCTGTTAACTGCTTGAACTGATGTTTTATGAAATTAGAAGAGTACCATTTTCTTCTTAAAAGTATATTATTCAATGATAAATTTTAGTATTCATATTGTAAAGTATTCAGAAATAATTCTACCTCAAAAATTGATGGAGGGAGAAATGACCCAAACATTGTATGCATATATGAATAAAAGAAAAAAAAGAAAAAATGGTTTTTCTTCTAGAACTTCGATTCCTTTGGATTATAGAGGTGAAATAAATAGTTCAGTTCAGATTTAAAATTATCCCTTTGCATATGGGTTATTGTTTTGTTGCAAATACCTCTATAAACACACCACGCACACACACACACACACACACTCTCACACACGCACACACACATGCTTTGGTGATTTCTTCAGCAGGAAGAATGCTGGAAGGTCAATCATGAAATGTCCTGGATTTTTCTTTTCTGTCAATATTTTTCTTTATGCTTTTAGATTTGTTTCTTGCTCAGGAAAACCTTCCCCCTCTGCAATGTTATGTGACTCATGTATGTGCTAAGTTAAACCATTTCTAGTTTAATGTTCATTTTATGACTTTTAATATTTCTAATTTATTTTTTGGCATGGTCTGAGGTACAGATACAACTTACTTTTTTGTGTACTTTCTCCAGTGGAATCCACACAATTTAAAGGTAACACACAAAACTTTATACTCACAATAAAACATATTTCTGCATACTCACTTCTGATATTCAAAATTTTATTATAATAATGAGCTTATCAATCTAGTTCTAATAATATAATATTAATTTTTATTATGATTTGGTTAGAAAGAGGTATTTTATTTTCCTGCTATTCTGCCCTGTCACTTTTTCCAACAAATTTCACAATTGTTCTTTCATATTTTCTCCTAAAACAGGCTGTTCATATTATATTAAGTCATTTTTGTTGGAATTTTAATTTGCATTAAATTTTATTTTGGCACACTGATTTGATATTAATTACAATATTGTCATTCTATTCATGTTACTCTAATAAAAATTTATTTTATAACTCTAATATATATTAGAGAATTTTTTATATAAATATTTCACATTCCTAAGTTTTATCTTCCTTTGCTGTATTCCTTTCTCTTTCTCCTTCCTTCCTTCCTTCCTTCCTTTGTCCTTCTTTCTTTCCTTCCTTCTGAAAAGGACTATTATTTTAAAAGTTAATAATTGTATCTACTTCATGAAGTTTCTCAAAAGATTAAATATGGTATACCAGAAAAAACTTAAATGCTCGTTATAGATGAAGTATTAAAACAACTAATATTGTTGTTTGGAATTATTGGTTTTCTTATGTTTACTCTTCATCTGACCACCCCATCAAATTATCTTACCTATGCTAATAATGTAGGTAATATGGCTAAGGGTGAAAATGTTTTCTGTAGTTAGTAACTGTTTTATCTTTTCTTACCAGTGTCTGCAGTTTCTCTTATTCTTTGTGTGGGGAAGGACTGCCAGTTTTTTGCTATAGAGTAGCAGTGAATATCTTCTCTATGTGTGAAGAGTAATAGTGTTGACTCTACAGATATTTGCTGTGAAATTTTAAAAATATAGCTTGGAAATCTCATATTTTTAGATTGTAAGGCATTTTTAAAAGCAGTTATTAAATTTCATGAAAGACTTTTAGGAGCAGGCTACTTATAGTTTTTCTTATTGACCTTGGAAATATAATTGAAATATTCTACCAAGTCTTTTGTTCAACCAACTTGAAATTCTTAGACTATATTCTACGAGCTCATGATGCTTAGTTCCTTCAATTCATTTATGATTTGATTTGCTAACATATTTAAGATCTGGGGGTCTGTATCATAAATGACATTAAACTATATACTTATTTCTTTTCTGTGTGTCAATATATACCATTCATGTTTTACTAAGGTTATGACAGACATAATAAGTGAGTTGAGAAATATTTCATATTTTCAAGATTATGGGACAGTTTATGAAATGATTTTATTTGTTCATTGAACATCTGTTTGAATGACTCCACTATTTTGAGTCTGAAGCTTTAGTAGGGAAATTATGCTATTACTTCTAATAGAAAGTATAAAGGGTGTGATTAGCAGAGAGGGACTCATTAACTTGACCTCAGAGAAACAAAACTGAACAGACAACCTTATAGCATCATGAACTCCTGATGTGTGATTAGTTACCTATTTCTAGGTGACTAACACCCACCTCCTCATGACTAAAACATAAGCTCTATGAGTACTTTTACTATTTGTTAACAAGTATTTTGGGCACCTAAAAGAGTACCAAGACAACAGTAGGACACAATAAATTTGGGTGATTCAATAGATGAATGAAGGAATAAAATGACTTTGTCTTTGGTATTAATGGATGTTTCTTTGCAGTGATGTGAGAAAATTTACCTAGTATAATAATGAAGTTGTCAGAATATTAATTAAATTTTAGCATTCTTTGTCTGACCCTTCCCCAATTGGCACATTTATTTCTTTAAAAAGTATGTACTTGATTATTGTCTAATTTGGTTTGTAACTTTATCCCAACATTAGAGTGTTTTCTTATTAGTGCTATTTTTAAAACTAAATAGATGTAGAGAGGAAGATTTGAAGGATGGATGCCTGACTCTTGGGGATAACAACTACTCATATATTGTTTTTAGTGTAAGATATGTAATGAAGTTAAATCTACAAGTAGAAGATTCATAAGAAAATAAGAATATTATTGCCCCAAATAGAGAAAAAAAAGCAATTCCATAGTACAAAAATTAAGCTGGTAAACTTCCTTAGTAATGAATAAAATCATTTTTACTACTTTTTATATAATTGCACAAATTAAAGAGTGACCATTTATAACCAAAGGAAAATTTAAATTGCTTCAGTTACTACCTGTGATTTCCACATACAGCCATATTTTCTCCACTCTCTTTTGGAGTCTGTTTCTTCTTTTGGAAGGACACAACTCTCTAATTCTTGATTATTTTTTATTTATTTCTCCATCAGTCCTGCTCATTTTTCCAGTTTTACTTACTTTTTCAAGAACTTTCTATGTACTACTTTGGTTTCTCCAGCCCTTAAAGCCCTACTTTAGAAAAGATCATATTTATTGCAATTCAGTTTGCTTGCATTTTTTTTCTTAGACTGCAAACCAACATCAGGGCAGAAAGCTCAGGTTTAACCATTATTCTCAGAAGCACAACACAGATGTAAAATATGGTGGCAATTATGCAATATTTGTTGAATATAAATTCATTTAAAGAAGTCATATTGTTATTCCTGTGATCAACACAGCTTGGAAGTAAAATTCCTTCATCTGGTCCTCAGTGTTTAGTATGCAGGTTGAATTCTATTTGTTGTAGCATTTCTAAGTGTCTAATGGAACAAGTTAACAAAAAGGAAGTAATGGGGCAGTTTGAGTAGTATGGAAAAATATTAAAAGGAAGTATGAAAGTCTCATCACTTTACACATTAAATTTACTTCTTCACTACACAACAGCAGCAAATTATGTTGGAACAGTTCCTCCAAATTTTCTTTCCTTTTGTTACATTTCTCTTTCCTAATTCCAAGGTACTACAGGAAGATATATGACAGATTTCTATTTATTGCTTTGAAAACAACATGAACTTGATTACTTTTCATTTTTTCCTGAAATCTTATTGTTACTTAGTTGCAACACAAGTTTTAAAAATGAGAAATTATTTAAAAGAGACATTAAAGAGTGCAATAGTGTGCAGCTCATGAGACTCTCACAGGATTAAAAAACAAGTAGACAAATGGAAACAACCAGGATTACAATGAATATGATGTTGCTAAAACAGGGCTTTAAGTGCTGGGTAAAGCAAAGTCATAGACAGAAGGGTCTTCAAACAGTAGGTACAGTGTAATTGCTCTCAATGACGGGTTAGTTGACTCCCCTAATCTTTCAACAAGAAACACTAGAAGAAGTAGGTTGAAATTTAACAGAATAAACAAAACTGATCCAATAAAAGTAAATTTACAGGAATGTTTTCTCATCTCTAAAAGATTTCTAAAGAAAAAGAGACTGGGTCCTAGTTGAAAGTAGATTCCAGTTCACAAAAATAGAGAATTAGGAGATAAGCTTCTGTTAAAAATATGTAACTATTGGTTTCACTCAATAAAAATGGGATAGTTGAAAAGTATTGCAGAAAAACATTTTAAAGTTATTATTAGATGATAGGAATATTATGGGGGTGGAGTTGATCTTAGAGAAATGAGGGCAGCAATAAAAAAGGAAGTAAAAAATATCCTTGGCTCAAGTCAGCACAGCTCCAAAGACTGGATAAAGCAGAAGTGGCAGAAAAGCAAGATGAATGATATTAAGCTTGCTGTCTTGGGAGGTGAAAGAACAGGCAAATCTGGTGAGTGGTGATGTTTGGTTTTGTATGATGTAGAGTCAAAAATGTGTGAGAAACTTATTGATGTGTTAAGAGATAACCATATGTAATAACTGAATATGTGGTAACTCACTCTCTGTGAGGATATGCACATGATTTTTCTGCAGGAGTTTTCAATTATTTAGATAAGTTGCTGTGTAGGAATAAATGGAAATCTTTCTGTCACTATCCTATTTCTTTCTAATACATCTGCACCTATACCAACAAGTTGCCAAACAATTGTTTTGAAAGGATTCTTCTGCTCTGAGAGGATGGGTAAAAAGTAATGCATGGAAACCTGTGGATTTTTGGTTTCAATGCAGTTGGTGAGCTGAAAGAACTCATCATGGACATGGTTTTGAGGATGTCCTGGAACTGAGCAGCTTGTGCCTTAATTTTGGAAGCTATGGTTTGGTTTGGTTTTGATTTGATACAGCCACTCTAGCCTAAGCAATGATACATGGTCAGACTCAGAAGCTATTAAAAAGTAAAGAGATACCAGAGATCCTTTTCTTTTCTTTAACAACAACAAATGCCTCATATTGTCCTTGTTACTCCTACAGATAGTACCTTAGAGACAGATTTAATTTGGTAGATAAAATAAAAGATGTAAGAAATTTTCATTTGAACCATAATGAGAAATCTATTTATATTACAAAAGATAAGTTGCTGTGTGTTTGTGTGTGTGTGTGTGTGTGGTGTGTGTGTGTGCATTCATGAATTAACTTCATAGTGACTTAAATGATGTATACTAATCTAAGGTCCCACTTTTCTATCTTTGAAATTATTATGGATATATCATGGAAGTATTGTGGACAATACTTTAGAAGAGATTTCAGTAGTTTTAAGATCTTTATAAATGCCCGATAACTCTTGAGTTGAAAGATGAAAATTTTGTATACATAGCTAAGTTATCTGTGCCCTATAATACAACAAACCTGAAATCCAGCTTAATTATTTTCCAGCCCTTACCGTAAGGTTTCTTACCAAGAGATTCATTGGAGAATATGCTTCTAATTTTGGTAAGTCAATACTCTAGACTTTTTTCATCTCAACATTATAACTAAACACTAGCTAGGACGAAAGAAGCATTGTGATAGAATCTGCCATTTTAATATTAGTTAAGCAACCTAATTACTTCACAAATTGTAGCTAGAAATGTCAAAATAGGTATTTGAATTGAAAGTTCTTTTATGATAAAATTCATCCAATTTGATGGTGAATTAGAAAGTCAGTTGATTTCAAAGTCTAAAACTAGAAAGTTATTAAAGTTGGGATTCTGTTTACAAAGTATTGTGAAACATGTAAGTATGAATATATCTTGTAAGATGTGGAACAGTTTTGGTAATTAAATCAACATCTGTTAAAAGATAGGGACAAAATAACGCTGAAAGAATAAGCAACTGTAAAAATAAAGATTATTATTTTAAGACTATTTAAAAATAATAGAAAAGTAATGTCTTGTTATGATAGCATATTATTATCTAGATTGTTTTTATAAATTTCAGAGAAATTCTAAAACAAATTCCAGGATATCTTAGTATAATCTTAGGATCATTCCATTAGCCACTTTGATTTTCTGTTATTTTAATCAAAATTAACAAAGTATATAGGAGAAATCACAGCACAAAAACTGAGAAAATTTGCTTTAATTTTGAGTGTAGTGTTTGCTCAACAATTACTCAATATAATGGTATTAACACCTGTCAAAAACATGGGGATAAATGATCTTTTCTTTTTTCAATCAAGGGTGGAAGAATTATAAAGATATATGACATTTGGGAGAAAGGAGAGTGAGTTTTCATTCAATATTAGCTATTTAGAGTTCAGAAGAGTCAATGATTGCAAGTATATTTTCCTGCAGAAGCCAAAGGACAAATAAATCTTTAACATTTATTCATGAGGTAGTGTTATTAGTGTATTTCAAGATGTGACTTTAAAATATTGTTTTGTGTTGTTCCCTATGTATATACAACACAGTTCATATGACATTGTGAACATTTTAGGGCAAGTTCTCAAAAACTTATTATAAAAGGAGGAAATATAAAGAAACAGAAATTCGTAGTGTTTCATTTCTGGGGGCAAAAACCTCAGTCCCAAAGGTCAAATAGTGCACAAGCTAGGACTCAGCCGTGAAAAAAATATTTCAGAGTTAAAAATGAAACTAAACATAAATAAAACAATACAATATCCAAACAACAATAGTAATAACAACAAAAACCTCCACCCTAACTTTTTAAAAATCTAGTTATATAAACAAATGAAATGTTTACATGTTTCTGGCTGTTATATCTCAAAGCAAGATATAAGTCCTAGAGACATTTTGAAAAGGCAACTGAATGATCCAAAGGTCACCAATTCTATGAAAACAAACTGGTAAAAACAACTCCATTTTGTAAATGAAGGCTAGAAGGGGAAATAATAACATTCTTAAAAAACAGAGTTGATGACCCTTGCCAATGCCTTTTGAGAATTGAGAGTGGATATTTTAAAATGTCTGCAAGGAGGCTTTATGGCTCAGAGCTAATAGTAATTTCATGAAGTTTAGAAGAAACTCTTTGAAAACATAATTTAAGGCATGATGAATTTATAGCAAATTTCATTAAACGTGACCTGGAAAGAATTAAAAGGTCAACTTTTACCCTCCAAAGAGACATTAACCCCTATGGGTTATAGTATATTTGCTAGCACAAGTCCTAATTTTATGCTTATGTTACTTGGTAAAGAAGTAGACCTTTTACCAAGCACTGGAGGAACACTTGCAGAAATGAATTAATTCATTCAAGGAATATTCATCTAGTAGCTACTATGTCTCAGATACCCCTTTAGGTGGACAGGCTGTATCTGGGAACAAAAAAGACAAATTTCCAGTTCCTCAGGAAGTTTACAAACTGGAGTAAGGGTCTGTCAACCTAGGCAAAAATATTAAAAATAAATTATGTTATATGATGACATAGCCTATGAAGAAAAGTAAAACAGAAGAGTGGCACTAATATATGTGACTACTTAACATAGGATAGTCAGGGTAGATCTTGCTAAGGTGACATTTGAACAGAAACATGGTGAAGATAGAGCCATGAAGATATCAAGGGGATTTTATTTCAGGGAAAAGAAAGAATAGTTACCAAAATTCTGAGGTAGGAGGTTTCTGAAAAATTAAAAGAATGATATGTAGATTATATAGATGGAGTGAACAGAATGTACGAGATAATAGCAAAGATGTCTATTAAATCTGCAGTGATTTTAAAGGTTTTATTTAATCCAAGTGAGTGAATTGGGGAGTGACTAAAGCAATCTGATAACAAAATCATCTGGCTACAAAGTTCGCTTGTTCCTACACTCAGAATAGACTAGGGACAGAAGAGGAATCAAGGAGTTGGAAGCAGAGGGATAAGTTGGGGCATTTTGTGACAATGTAAGCAAGAAATAATGGTGGCTTGGAATAGAGTATAAGCAATAGACATAGTGAGAAGCAGACAAATTAAAACTATATTTTGAAGGTAGACAAAAAATTTAATAGAGTTTAATAGAATAATTAAAATTTATTAAATTTAATTATTCTATTAAAAATTTATAATAGAATAAATATAGGAACAAGAGAAAGAAAGAATTATGGACTATTTATATGAAAGTATATTAAGACTATTTATATGGACAGTTGGATTTAGGGATATCCATTTAACAAAATGTGAATCTGTAGAAGATGCAGTTTTGAGGCAGATTGGGAGTTCAGTTTTAAGTGTGGATGAGGTGTCTTAACAGTCACTTACATGCATATATCCAATAGAGAGTAGTTGTTTGGAGTTCAGGTAAGAGGTCTACACTGGAGATAAAGTTGAGTTAGAAATAATTTGTATTTAATGGTATATGGTCAGATGAAATCAACAAAGCAGTGTAAATAGAGGAAGGAGCTATAAACTAAATCTATGTTTGGAGTGTGGGAAGGTTTGAAGGATCAATTAAAAACTTTAAGAGAAAGTAATTGTGAATAAAGATGAAAAACAAGAGCGTGGTGGCACTGAAGATCAAGTAAAGAGAATAGTTGACGGAGTCAAGAATAAACAACTAGATTAATGGTACTAAAAAGGCAAATAAGACATAGAACTACATTTGAGCCTAAAAACATTTAAGTTAGAAAAAATTAGACAAGTTTATAGGATGTTGGTAATGAAATAAGAAGGAATAAAAAATTAATGATACAGAAATGGCAGAGGCAAAATTGCTAAAATCATGCTTTTCATAGGTGAGAGGAAGTTATGACCAGTCAAGAGTGACTGTGAGGGTATCTCACAGGTATTTCACCCACAGTGAGACATGTGGGAGATCAGAGATAGTGGTGAAGCTCATTTTTAGGAAACTTATCAGAGGACATACAGTACATTCGTGGGCTTTGGTCTGCAGCAATGAAAACCAGTATGTTACTTTTCCTCTAAGATATGACTGGATAAATGTACTGGATTGTGATTAGATATGAGTCCATCTTCTGTTCTGGAGTTTTTCCATAATGACTATGAATGTACACATTTTGGCAGAATCTATCTACAATAAGCATTTGTGTTTGGATGGGAAGCAACTGAATCTGGAAATATATGACCCTTGCCCTCAAGTAAGTGAAATCTTCTCATATTATTTTTTAATCTTGATTTGAAGAAGTGTGGATAATGACAAGTGAAGTGTTGTCAATGTTAAAATGAAAGTTTCTTTTCAATTTTATTTGTTAAAATGTTGTAAGATTACTTTTGTGCTTTAAATTCCACCATCTGAATGCTCTATCATAAACATATTTAAAATAGCAATATTAGGTTGCTTTCATAACATATTTCTATCAGGTTATAAAGTAGATATCAGAAATTAAAAGCTTAACGACTTGACAACTCAGTTTATATTCTCACTAAGCTGCATTTGTAAGCAACTAGTTGTTAATTGAACATAAGTGAGATAGATTTTGAGTAAAAATCTCTTTTTCTTTTCCAACATACTAATATAATTAAAATAGGTTTATATAAGCCAAAAAAGGAATCATTATTTAAGATTTCAAGCAACTCCATGGAATATAATTTTTTAAGTAAATAAAATACCCCTGGAATATTTTCAGGTACACTTTGTCAATACTTTTGCTTTTATGTGTTAAAGTCTAGTATCGAAAATCAATAGAAATTTACCAACATAAATGGAAAGTATCTCTTTACAAAAAATGTGTGGATATTAATTCAAAAGCATGTTACAATACTAAAGTCCCAGAAAAGGTAAAGATATTTTCTTATAGAAAAGTTGTGAAAAGAGATAGATATAACTATTGTAGTTATGTCTTAAAATTTAATCACTTTTAATTAAAGAAAGAGGGTGGTAAGAAAGCAATAGAGAAACAAAGAAAATATTAGTTTTTGACCTTACTGAAGACTCTTCTAGGTGAAATGGGTCTCCATTAATTAACTGTTTCAAGTATAAAACACTGTGCCAGATCCCATCACTTCAATGCACTTGGTTTATTTTCAGTCACAGAAAACAAAATTCTCCCTCACAAGTGAGCTTCATTGGGCAGATGGGTTTGTTATTGTGTATGACATCAGTGACAGGTCTTCATTTGCTCTTGCAAAAGCACTTATCTACAGAATTCGGAAGCCACAATCCACTCCTTGTAAAAGGTAAGGCATTTCATTCCTCTCTCCTCTCTTTTTAGTAAATCATCATATAGCTGTAAGCATCATTAGGAAGAATTTAATACAGCCTTCCAATTACAAAATTTAACAGCCCTGAACAATTCACCTTCCCATTCCACAGGAGTTACACATGTAGTAAAAGGAATAAGATGAGAATGCTTTATATCCTGGCTGACATAAACAGTTACTTGCCCTGAGTAAATGGCTATTTTATAAGACAGCTTCTGTTGTTAACATGACACTCACTTGCAAAATAATGCTCCTCTGTGCACCAGACAGTTGGCCTCTCAGTCTTTCCTTTTCATTTTCACAAAAATGTTAAGGATACTAAATAAATCCAGATTTATTCCATTTGGCATCCTCTGAAATCCAATTCCTACTCATTGGGTAGTTCAGTGTATCACAGTAAAATGGACAAAATATATACAAATTCTGAGGGTGAAAAATGCATATTTCTCCATTTGCCTTTTAAAAGAAAGACTGGTCTATGATTCTCCATCATTAATTGTTTAGACACACAGAAGTACAGAGACATATTGTGCCTTAAGCTGCATTGGTACATAAATATTTAAGCGTCTAAGTTTCCCATTTTAGTTTTTTTCCTATTTTTTATTATTTTAGCCTTTCTTATCTAAAGTATTTACTTTTGTTCAACATGGTGATGCAAAGAATTCTCTGTGCTCTTCATCAGTTTTGCCCTTAGAATCGAAAATGATACTCTATTTTGTTAATATTTTTACTGCAGTATTATTATTGCAAATTGGTGTATGTGTTTTAAACATCTATTTTAAATTACTGCCACCAGGAAACCATGGGGTAATGAAGTCAGGCGATGTACCTTAGGTAACTTAACTTCTAAGTTCAATTTTCTTATTATGTGACTGAAGATAGTGCAGTAGGGAAAAAGGATGTGATTTTACTAAAGGTCCCTCACAGCCCTGACTTCCTTTGGCATTACTGATTTTTTTGTTTTAGAATTCCATTATTTCAAGCATTAAATCTCTTATTCTCTTACATTTAAGCACTATACCATAAGTAGGGGATAGAAGTATTTTTTGTTACTCCTTCAAGTCAAAATAATCACTCAAAAACATTTATAAACCCATTTGGAATATAAGACCCAACTTTGACATTTTTAATACAGTTTTCTTAATTTAGTGACTGAATAATTTCCAGTTCTCAATCTATAGAAAGCTAGGAGAGTAAAATATGGTAGTTTTATATACCATTACATCTGATATTGGTGACTTGTTTTTTAAAATATTTTCTTTTATGATAATTTATGAACTTGACTGAAAAAAGATATTTTTAGAAAAAAATTGTAACATACAGTGCGTCTTCCCTCTCTGCCCACGTTGTCAGGTGAATGAAAACAACTTTTACTGGAAACTGTGTCAATAAGAATTAAAGACTTACTGGGCACCGGTGGCTCACACCTGTAATCTTAGCTACTCAGGAGGCAGACATCAGGAAGATCGTGGTTCAAAGCCAGCTCTGGAAAATAGTTGGTCAGATCCGATCTTGAAAAAACCCAATACACACACAAAAAAGGCTGGTAGAGTGGCTCAAGGTGTAGGTCCTGAGTTCAAGCCCCAGTATCAAAAAAAAAAAAAAAAAGCCCATCTCAAAAAGTTGCTGGCCAAGTGTCTCAAGGTGAAGGCCCCGAATTCAAACCTTAGTACCGCAGAAATAAATTTTAAAAAAAGAGCTAAAGAGTTTCTGTGTTTCTTCATTTCTTCCTGTAATAGATACCTTGGCAGTTCCATGCCATTTAAAGGCTAGTGGCTTTACTATATTCTAGTCAAACTCTACTTTTGCATTGTTTCATTATAACCAAGGAGAATATATTGGTATTTATAGAACATTTTATCTTAAAAAAGAAATATTTTTATTAAACTGAAAAGTTTAAGAGAGTAAATTTTAATGAATATTATCAAAAAAAACAGTAATGCATAACTGAATAATATTTTTGCTCAGGAACATTCTATCTAAATGAGCTTTTAATTTAATAACTGCATAAATAAAGAGATGTTTGTTAATTCTCCTTGTGCAAATGATAATAAATGTGAAAAATAATAGTAACCATCTTTCACTGGGTGGGGCTGTGCTAGGTATTTATATACAGGCCATTTCACTTAATCTGTTTGAGAATTCTCTGTGAAGAGGACTATTTTATTACTTTTTTATGCTTAAAGAAACTTAAAGTGGGAGAATAACAAGTATCTCTGATTAGTACACAAAGCCAGAATTCAAGAATAGTCCTACATTACTTCAAATCTGAAGCCCTAAGAGCCTTTTGTTTCTGTGGTATTTACATTCTGCCTACAGTGAATTTTGTAAGTAAACTGGAATTTGTATTACTATACACATATCTGGCTATAATAAACACTCTTAACCATTCAATATTTTTTCTCCTTTGTCTCATAATACTTTGGATATAAATTTACCTGCTAAAAAAAGTTGCTGAAACAATCTTGTCAAAAATTATGTGTCTGTGTTTCAGATTTGTGGAACCAGCAGTGATTTTAGTTGGCAACAAGCAAGACCTCTGTCATGTGCGGGAGGTTGGCTGGGAAGAAGGGCATGGCCTGGCACTGGATCGCCACTGCCAATTCTGTGAACTGTCTGCAGCAGAGCAGACTCTGGAAGTAGAAATGATGTTTATCAGAATTATCAAGGACATTCTGACAAACTTCAAACTCAAAGAAAAGAGGAGATCCAGTGGGTCTAAATCAATGGCCAAACTAATCAATAATGTATTTGGAAAGAGAAGGAAATCTGTTTAGTAGACGTGTAATCCTAGGGGATTTGTTACATCAGTGAGTTTCAAATATTCACGGTAATTAAACTTACCCTTTGCATGCAATTTTTAAGAAAAGAATTCTCTTGAAGATGTGAGATGATTGACAATGAATCACAGCTGCATTTTCAAGTACATAGTTCGCCTTTTTGGTTGATTATATCCAGTTCATTCCACTTCACACATAAGCTTTCATTTATTGCATGAATAGTGCTTACGTTTTCTGTTGGTGGATTGCTATCCAGTGTGCCTTGCCCAGGAAACTCTGCTTATGTAATTTTATTAAAGTAATTAAAGTACCATACTATGCCTATGGCTTACCTTTATTTTATTTGGTTCTTTTGACTGAAATGAATAGTTACATTCACATAGCTAATACATTACTAAGCTTAATTGATCTAAAAGTGAACTTTCATGATCTATTTGATAGAAACACACAAGTGTTAAAAATATCTTTTATAATCTAATGAGCTGCATGATATTTCACATATTTTACTTTAAATGTAACGTAGGCCTTAAAAAGTTAAATTCCTTGCCTGTGCATAATATTTTGTAGTTGATATAACAATGAAAAGTCTGACTTTTCATATTGTTTGCTCTCTTAATGAAAACAATTCTCATAAAGGAATTAACTTATACAGTTGAGATCCTTTTAGATCAAAAGTTTAGTCTATTTTAGCTTACTTAGAAGCCCAGGCATCATAGGGAAGAGAAAAGTAAAAAACTGGTTTATAAATAGATAACCTGAAAGAAATATTTTTGTGTGGGATGCAAACATTTCGTCCTTATCAGATTATTTCAATGTAATTTCTTTTTTTTTTTTTCATTTTTCTTTTATTATTCATATGTGCATACAAGGCTTGGTTCATTTCTCCCCCCTGCCCCCACCCCCTCCCTTACCACCCACTCCACCCCTCCCCCCCCCCCTCGATACCCAGCAGAAACTATTTTGCCCTTATCTCTAATTTTGTTGTAGAGAGAGTATAAGCAATAATAGGAAGGAACAAGGGGTTTTGCTGGTTGAGATAAGGATAGCTATACAGGGCATTGACTCACATTGATTTCCTGTGTGGGTGTTACCTTCTAGGTTAATTCTTTTTGATCTAACCTTTTCTCTAGTTCCTGGTCCCCTTTTCCTATTGGCCTCAGTTGCTTTAAGGTATCTGCTTTAGTTTCTCTGCATTAAGGGCAACAAATGCTAGCTAGTTTTTTAGGTGTCTTACCTATCCTCACCTCTCCCTTGTGTGCTCTCGCTTTTATCATGTGCTCATAGTCCAATCCCCTTGTTGTGTTTGCCCTTGATCTAATGTCCACATGGTAGCAGGATATAAAATCAACATAGAAAAATCATTAGCATTTCTATACACTAACAATGAGCAAATGGAAAAAGAATGTATGAAAACAATTCCATTTACAATAGCCTCAAATAAAATCAAATACCTAGGTGTAAACCTAACAAAAGACGTGAAAGACCTCCACAAGGAAAACTATACACTTCTGAAGAAAGAGATTGAGGAAGACTATAGAAAGTGGAGAGATCTCCCATGCTCATGGATTGGTAGAATCAACGTAGTAAAAATGTCGATACTCCCCAAAGTAATCTACATGTTTAATGCAATTCCCATCAAAATTCCAATGACATTCATTAAAGAGATTGAAAAATCTACTGTGAAATTTATATGGAAACACAAGAGGCCACGAATAGCCAAGGCAATACTCAGTCAAAAGAACAATGCAGGAGGTATCACAATACCTGACTTCAAACTATATTACAAAGCAATAACGATAAAAACAGCATGGTACTGGCACAAAAACAGACATGAAGACCAGTGGAACAGAATAGAGGACCCAGATATGAAGACACACAACTATGAACAACTTATCTTTGACAAAGGAGCTAAAAATATACGATGGAGAAATAGCAGCCTCTTCAACAAAAACTACTGGGAAAACTGGTTAGCAGTCTGCAAAAAACTGAAACTAGATCCATGTAATTTCTTGCTGAAGAATGTGGTCTGCTGCCATACAGATAGTGCTGCCACCCTTTTATGAGCTTCTCCACCATCTTTCAAGTTGAAAACATAAACCTAACATCTACCAAACATTTGATAGTTAGGATTAGGTATCAGACAGGTTAAACTTGCCTGCGAACAATGCTACATATGCAGTTGGTTAATATATATAAGCAGGAAACTGGGAACCAAGATGGAAGAAGATTTTGAGAAAGCAGGTAGTTTGGGGTGGGAGGAAGTGAAACTCAGACCATTAGGCTACATAGGAGAGAGCTGGTCTATACAGCTTTGCTGTTCTTTAGAAGACTCACCTTGATGTTATACTAAAGTAAAAGCAGTAGACAAAGCCAACAGTAATATCCAAAGAGTTTCCAAGTGTTCAGAAAGGCAGAGGGTATGATTGGTATTGATATCGTGGGTTGGGTCCAAGGACTCACCATTCAACTATGTTCCCTGGGAGAATTCAGGAGACCTCCCTTTACTCAGGACAAGAGAGATGCACAGACAAAGGGCCGCAGACAACTTTGAGAAGCCTAAAGATGACTGTGTACTGTCAGAGTTGATAGATCTTTTATCAACTATAATTAATCTTCTGTCAAATCTGTGGCTGTACATCAATGGAAAGCACTGAGTTGCATACCTTGCTATCAGTGTGTATGATAGCATCCGGTCCTCTCCTTCTAGTTGTAAAGTGACTTATCTTTGGTAGTTGCTCTAGGTGTGCATTAATATGATCAGACAGATCTTTTGTGACCTTTCTGAGAGATCCATCCACACCCTTTCCTTTGGCTCTTCTTCTGCCACTGACCTTCCAGTCTTATCTCACAGACGCCTGACCTACTGCCAAAGAATTGATTGATGCATAGAAATCAGTGCACCACACACACACTTTCTTTTTACCTTGAATGAAAGGTAGAAAAGAAATATGTATGTGAACCTTTTCCAACTAGAATAATTTCCTTTTGCTAAGAAACTTCATGGTTACCTCTGTGTAGAAACATAGAAGGCACAGCCTATTTTGTTTGGGGTTAATATACTAAGTTAAAGTGAAGAAAGCTTCATATGGGCTAGGGATACTCACTGCTATGTGAATGAGAAATAAGCCTACATTGTGTAAAGTTACCCTGGAAAATTCAGTGATGGAGTCTTGGTAAATTATTTATAGGGATTTTATTGATATTTTGTGTCTCAATTTATACAGTGTCACGATAGTACATATATATAGCAAGAGAGAGTATATTTATACTATGTATTTATACTCTAAATTAGTGTGAGGTGTTATACTTTAACTTTTTGGTTTTGTTTTTATTCTGGATAGTCTTATTTTTAGATATTTGATTTTCACTTTTTTTGGCAGTAATGGGGTTTAAGCTCAGGGCCTCACATTTGGTAGGCAGGTGCTCTACCACTTGAGCCATGCTTCCAGCTCAATTTGCTTGGGTTATTTTTTGAGACATGTTCTTATTTTATGCCCAGGCTACCCTGTACCACATCCTCCTACTCTTGCTTCACCATGTGGCTGGGATGACAGGCACACATCACTGTGCCCAGCCATTGGTTGAGATGAGGTCTTACAAACAATTTAGCCAGACTGGCCTTGAATCTGATCCTCCCAATTTCTGCCTCCCAAGTAGCTAGGATTATATGTTTGAACCACTGTGCCAAGCTTGGTCTTCATTCTTTAGAATCATCTTGACATTAACTAAAAGTTAATTTGGGATGATTTTTGCCTCAACAATAGCATATTTATTCCTGCTACATGTTAAAAACAATGATGCTCAAATGGTTTCTATGTTCTTCAATAGTTAATTTATATGTTTTTATCTATGATGAGGCAGAGTTCTGTTATGTATGTGATTTTTATTTCTGTATATCTCATTTCTTAAATTTGTTATACTTTTAGTTTTTGGTAAAATTACCTGGAATGATAACAACTTGTCACAAGGAGATTATGGAACATTGTAAAATGAACATGTTATTTTTATGAAATCACTTTTGAAATTGTTGATTATTTTTAAGGGTGACATTTAAAATATTGTGTTATATTCACCTTTGATTATGTGACAATTTTAAAACATGTACACACAGTTTTTGCTTCTTCTCACAAGGTTATTCTCCCTTTTCCCACCCTCCTTGAGTAGGGATGTACCTTATTGACTCTTTTAACCAATGGAATGAGGTGGAAGTAACATGTGTGAGTTACAAAGCCAGGTTAGATGAGGAAGTCATTTTCTCTCTGTCTTGAGACTCTTCTTTGGGAGCAATGAGTGATGTGTATAAATCTAGCAATCCTGAAGGCACCAGGATGGAGATAACCACATAGAATTAGTGGCCATACAGCCACCAGATATATGAGTAAACCTTCAGCTGATTCCAGGTTTCAACTTTGGAGTACCTTAGCTGATAACAGGTGAAGCAGATGAAAGTCAACCTACAGAATTCTGTCCCAATTACAAATTTGTGATCATCATAAAAGTAGACATTATGCCAAAATTATTGCACAGCAATAGCATAATCAGAAGAGAGAATTCATTAAAAGCCTCTGCAACTCAGTCAAACTGAAATGTTTGGTTTTCCTCACAGAGAAAAATTGGGTGAAAAAAGGAATTCTCTAACCAGATTCCATTGTTTTCAGAACATGATGTTGTTTTTTTGTGAATATAACTCACCTGTGAAACAAGTTGCCAAACTTCAAAAATAACAAATTGCATTCTTCCAAAGTGAGCAAAAAAATGCATCTACTTATAGAAAAACAAATACATCAACATTAGCACATAGAATGTTGTGGTTGTGGGTAGAAAATGTGCCCATAAATTTCAGAGAAAGTTAAGCTGTATTACTAGGCTGGGAATTGCCTGTGCTGCTTCTAGTGAAAAAGATGGTGTCATTCACACGGGATGGGCTTCAATGAGACCACACATTATGAGGGGCAACAGCTGAGGAAGGCAATGCCAAAGGGGAGGGGTCTTTACAATGGTTTTGATTTAATACAAGGCATGCACTATTAATAAAGAGGTTGAATGATACCTGTATGTTTTATAGGTTTATAAATTGGCTGTAGTAAAATATTTTACATCTTAGATCACTA